GATTATTGAAAATTAGTTTTCGTATCTAGATTAAACGTGTAAAAGGCCATCAGGCAGTTCATTGCTAAATTTTAATGATACTAAATTATTTTATTCTTTTTACCTTGGAGAAATATCTTTTTAACAGATTTGCAGGCAAATTGCCTGCAAATTTTTGATCAAAATTGTTCTCGTAGTTGGTTAAATTCCCAAAGAACTGCCGTTGGCCACTGTGTACAGTACCCAGGGTCTTATTCAAGAACTTCATTTTTAAAATTGAATAGTATCCGTGGATACTGTGTGAAGAACCAGGTACTATATTTGGGAAATATTATATTAAAAAGTAGTAAATCAATAGTTATATCTCCGGATTTTATTAAAGAAACAGGATGATAGGGATGGTGAATAATACCCGGATCTTAATCATGGGGTGATACTGTATATAGTGGCCAACAGTAAATTGCGATAGTACACTTCAGCACTTAAAATCCCAAAAGAACAATATTCTGACAATTTATTAATCCAAAACTAAATCCTAAAAAAAAAAAAAAAATCCCTAATAGTCACAATCAGCGTTTGAAACTAGTGTTCTTAGAGTTCTCATGAGAACACTACTATAAGTATAAATTTTTTACTGTACACTATTAAAAATTTTTTGAGAACAGTAAATTAATATTTGTGTTCTCATAAGCAGGGTTGGTAATGGACTATGTCCATTAAAAACAAATTTGTCAATCTAATGGATCAATACTATAATCCATTGATCCATTGGTCAAAAAATTTCATCAATACCGTAAATCGCCATATACAAGACCCATGTGATGCAATTTTTTTCAATTGAAAAAAATCTAAATCACGTGCATTACGCATCACTTGATGTATAAATACTATTTTAAAAATTGATCTACATTATTTGTCACGCAGGGTCTTGTATATGGCGATTTACGGTAGTACTATTATATTGAACTCTGAAATACCGTAATTCTTATAATAATTTTCATGTCGCAAAATGCGGATATTAAAATTTAAAAATCTTAACCAATCAGCACAACTCTATAATAAATAATCTTAACCAATCAGCACAACTCTATAATAAAAAATCTTAACCAATCAGCACAACTCTATAATAAAAAAAAGATGGTTTTAATTATCCTTTTTTTCATCGCGATAACAACCCACTTGGCTGGCTAAACTATTTCACTAATTAAAAATTGTGCTCAACCTATTGATTTAGGTGCCTGAGAGCACCCTTTAGATGACATGTTTTAGCATAATCACTTTATTAAACATTATTGCGAAATATATAATTTATATAACGTATAGTTATTTATAAAACTAGCTTAATGCGTAGCATTGTGTGTCCGGAGTAGGGTGTCTGGCACACCAAAAAAAATTTGGCATGCCACAGAGCATGCCTTTTGTTAAACTATGCCAGACACCCTAGTCCGGAGCACATGATAATTATCATATTGCACAAACGCGTAATCAGGGACGACGATTTTCTGCGGCAATTAAACTCAAATTCTGCAGTGATTAAATTTAATTTCTGCGATTATCTGCAAATTAAAATTTTAGCAAATTTCTGCAATAAAAACCCTGTTTCTGCACTCAAAACTTGGTTTAATACTAATGTTCCGAAGCTCGTATTTTGTGTTAATTGATTGTCTATCCTCCCGAAACTCTTCGCCAAAGCTCAAAATTTGATTGGATCCTGGTCAAATTTTAGGTCAATTCTGCAAATTCTGCGGTATTCTGCATTTTGCAGAAAATCGTTGTCCCTGCGCGTAATATGCAAAATTACATTTTTGATACGCCAGAATAATATATCTAATAAATTAATAAAGAGCGTAACTTTGATGCATCAAAAACGTAACAATTGTATCATCATGACTAAACATTAAAAGTCCTCCGCTACGCTCCGGACAAAAAAGCCACTGTATTTTCGCGAAATAATGCGCAGGAGTGTGTTTCAAATTTTGGCTCAAATTAAGCTTAATTCGGCCATTATTCTAAATAACACTAATTAGCATTATTATGCGAAAATATAGTAATTTATGTCGCGGCTGATGCTGAAATCTAGGGTCCCCATTTAAATCTATAATACCTACTAAAATTCATATATACTTTTTTTACTAACAATACTAACCCTAAACCCTAACCTAACCCTATAAAACCCTAACGAAAAGGCCCAAAAAAATTTTAATAAAATAGGTCAAATTTTTACGACAATTTATTTAACCTATTTGTCCATTGAGTTTAGTACCACTCAATGGAACCAATGGATCTGGTCAATGGATCTGGGTCCATTGATACCGATGGACAAATGTGCCAACTCTGATCATAAAGCATATGGATCTTTGCGATCTTTGCTAGGAAAATCACCATTCGGGATTTTCCGATCGGAAAAGCTTAAACCAGAATGCCAGTTCTTATTCATATGTAAATCATCTTTTTGTTTTATTGATCCGATAGTTTATTAAATAAACTGTCGAATCAGTAAAGTAAAAAGATGATTTACATATGAATAGGAACTGGCATTCTGGTTTAAGCTTTTCCGATCGGAAAATCCCGAAGAGTGATTTTCCTAGCAAAGTTCCCATATAGTAAATAGCTTCAGATTTGAAATGAAAAAAGTGCGCCACATTGTAAAGAAGACAATAATTATTGGATTTTTTTTAAAAGTTCTTCAAAAATATGTTTCATTAAACATGCAATTTGATGTATATTATATTTGTATAAATCTTATTTTATGATCCTTAGTACATTTTCCAATAATACAGTATTGTTGAGCGCTGTTTTTTTTTTTTTTGTGAACATAAAATATTAGTTTGAGAACATCTATATAGTTATTATACAATTCTCATGAGAACAGTATTTTGATCTGAAATTTCAAACACTGGTCAGAATCCTGTAAATATATCATCCCGAGTATAATAATAGCATTTCATTTTCATGAACTATCACAAATGCAAAAATAATGATATTTGTGATTTTTCAGGGGCATAATTATTGGGATTCGGGGTTTTAAGTACTGAAGTGTCGAGATCTAGTACCGTTCTTCGGGATTTCATACCAATTCATAAATAATAATAATAATAATAATAACGTGCCTCTAATAATCTTATTGCCGGGCAGACTAATTACCAAGAGCTTTAGCCAATACCACTTTTAACTATTTCTAACTGAGATCCACCTTTATTTTTCTTTTAACATGACGATAACGTAGTAAAAGTCAAATCGCGAGTTGTTACTGGGTTAATACTGATAATCAGATTTAAAGTTTTAATATCCGAAAATTCTAAATGGTACGTCCATGACCTGATTAGATCATTTAAACACGATACGTTAAAGGTTAGATAAATTTTTGAGACAAACAAGTTTATCATTAAAAGGATAGCATGTTAGTATTTTATGCTGATTAATTATCTATACACCCGAACATACCCAAGATTTTCCTTTCTTACCATATTTTATATTCGTTATTTACCGATTTATCTGAAATATGCTTTGGCAGAGAATCAATTTTAACGCTTCTTATATCGAGCGACCTGGCCCACGAAGGTGCAGGTATTCCCCAGGTTAAGGTTCGTTGTTATAATAAATTTATGTCTAATGAAATGCGTCAAGAGTGGAGAAAATGAGTGGAAGATGGATTAGATGCGTTACCAGCCTAGATCAAAGAGCCAAAAAATTTTGCAGGTTTGGCATTGGTTTATTAATATGTAATACGGTAAATAAAATTTAGTTTTGGGGACAAAATACTTGAATTTGGTGACCAAGTTTTAACATAGTAAAAAAAAAAAGAATATGCATATACAAAAAACCAAAATATAAAGCTAAACGATTAATAAACATAAAACTACCGTATTTTCGCGAAATAACGCGCAGGGTGTAATTTCAAAATTTGGCACGCATTATGCTTAATTCGGGCCATGGTTCCAAATAACGCTCATGAGCGTTATTACGCGAAAATACGGTGTGACTTGTCAGCTATTCATTTCCGATTTCACTGTGAATGCGTTATCAAATAAAGTGATATCTCTGATATCTCGAGAACAGATGTGCCTTTTTTGATGATTTTGGATTTAAATAATGATCATTTCCTTTTCATACTTTATTAGTTTCATCGCCACCTTTCGTTTGTTTCTTTATCTTTCGTCAGTTTCGCCACTTTTGCCAGTTTCATCATTTCGTCATTTAAGATTTTAATTGACGAAAGACGAAACTAGGTTTCGCGTTTCGTCAGCGCGAAACCTCCAAGTTTCGTCTAACAACTATATGCGATAACGGATAATTTGAAGATTTAAACAAAAAATATAATTATTGTAAGAATTAATTATTCTTACTAATTAGTCTATCTCATATTGATATGGAGAAAGAATTACAGTATTCAGTAAAATTCATTGCATATAACCCGCGTACGTACGTACGCACGTTGTACCAGGTACGTACGTCAGCGTTGTCATTTGGTCACTTGGCCCCGAAATATTTTGTATAGCAAAGTTAGTATAATATTATATAAGTTAGAAACTTGCGGATAAAGTTTGGTTATTGGCCGGACAAAAGCAAAAAATTTCCAACACTGCTGTATGTATAATTTTATGTTACAAATATATATATATATATTTACGTGCGTGCGTGCTATTAATTATATAGATTTTTATAGGTTTAATAAGTTGTGTCTATGTAGATAACTGGTTCAAAAATATGCTTACAGAGAAAAGAAATTATATGATTAAAAGACGATCGGTGATTTGTAGTAAATTTAATTTTCTTTGCATCATGTATAACGATAACGATAGTGGAATAATCTTTAAGACTAAACAAATATAATTCGTTGAAATTTTTGACCTTTATACATCTTTAATAGAAAAAAAATAGTATTTTAACAATCAATTCGTTAGATTAGCACTAAATTGGGAGTTCACAAGTTTGACAGAAAATGATTCATTAACATGTCGTGATCATGTGATTTATATATTTATATTATAACCTATTCTAATTTCCAAGGCGTTAAACGCCTAATCAAGAAGCTCATAAGAGTTTGAATCAACGTTGCTATTCATCTGATTTGTCCATCGTTGACGATGTTCTAAAATTCGGCGAAGATCGACGACAAATAACTCGTACTCTACTCCTGTACTCGGCATAGTTACTTAATTGGGTTCTTGAAAGGATTGCAACCCCAAACTTACTTGTTTTGGGATTCCAAATAGTATTTTATTACCATTACGTACCCAAATTAAAAATCAAAATTGAGTTTGAGTTTTGTTACATACGTACTGTAATTAAAAGATTCGATTTTGTCGAAAATTTCCATAAACTAGACGGTAATGTATCATATGAGATTATCATATTGCAATACAATAACAGTGACGAAATTCTTGAAATTTTTTGGACGATTCTTTCTCTTTCTGAAAATTGTTAGACGCTTCTTTCTATTCTAATTCGAGAAAATTGGTTGAAATGTTTATTTATTTACGATTAGAAGAAATAAAGTTTTATTTGGAATTCAAAAATTTTTCGATTTTATAAATCCGGATTTAAAATTACAAAAACTCTAATTAATCTTAGTAAAAAAATTCTATTTTTTATAACAATTCACAACGAACAAAAACGATATTTTAAAAAAAAGTTCTATAATAAGTTACATTTAATATTGGTCGAATTTTTTTCTTTAGCAACAATGTCTTAAATATTTAATGTGTTTGAATTTAATTTTATAGACTTGAATTAATAATACGTAACAAGAGTTCTGAAATGCAATTGTTTGTTATAGTAACATTTTTTCATATAACCTGGTTCAGTAACGCCCACGACCCTTAATGCTATAGTAAGTACAATTGTAACACTGATTTAAATAATAATTTATAGAAACGTTTAAATTTAAAAAAGGTTAATTGTGATGTTCATTATACCAAACTAGAAATCAATCTAACGCCCACACGAACCTTAATTCCACAGAATCAATGTATAATAGAATTTAAACAGTAATTTACTTCAGATCAAATAGGAGATATCGACTTAACACCCCATTGAATCTTAACGTCACGGAATCAAGTAAGTACGATATGATTTATGTTTTTTTAAAATGAGTAATTTACATAAATGCTAATCTTGATGTTTATGCACACCTGACTGAACTGGAGACAATAAAGCAATCGGTTTAACGCCCACGAACTTTATCACAGAATAAATATAATTAAAATATAATTATAACCAAACTTAAATTGTAAATGATAAATTTAGAGAGGTGACCTTGGTATTTATGTACACTTGATCGATCGAACGCCCACAAACCTTAATATCACAGAAAGATTAATTTTACAAAATGCTAAGTTTAATGTGCACTTAAATGAACTTGAAAAAGTCAAGCTATCGATTTAATGCCCATAAGCTTTAATACCATGGAATTAAGTAAAATTATTTGCTAATGTAGTAGCTTTGTTTTCAAAATCTAGTTTCAACTTTGAGAAATTATTAATTGTACAAAAAAATTTTTCTTTTTTTTACATGTTAATTTTCTAACTAAACTTATTTAATTAATATCTATTCAATCTAATTTAATCATTCTTATTTGGTTTTCTAACTTAAATTTTTCTAAAAAAATTGTCAATCCTTGAATCGGATTAATATTTACTCGTGTAGAATTTTTTTTAATAAAACATTATTTGAATGCGTATATATTGTATCTGTTATTATTACAAATTTAATAAATTCTGAGCTTGATCGAAAATAGGACATACATATTTTGAGTTTGATTTATAGTCCCAGATCAAGTAGAAATCTAAATTCCCAATCCCAAACTACGTAGTAATCTTGTAAGCCAAAAAAAAAAAAAAAGAAGATTTTGGTTGTGTTCTTCAACCATTCCTTTCATCGACTAACCATCTTCGCCTGGCGCAAAATTAAATCTACTAAAAGAAATTACCGGGCAACTTTTACGGTATTTGTTCGCAAACTTTGACGATTCCGCATCACCTATTCCCAATAATTCTTGAAGCTCATATAAAAGTGTTATTGTAGGAGAAGGAGATGATGTATCGATATTATTATTATTAGCGGTATTGTAAGCAGTATGTGGAATCCCATTTTGCCCATTCTGAATGGAGAGTAATAATCCAAGACCTTTTCGTTCGCAAGATTGTGGTGAAAGTTTTTGATTATTTACAGTATCTTGCTTAGCAAGGTTTAAAAGTTCTTTAACAACTTCTCGGACACGTTCACCATTTTCGCAAATAATTGGGTTTTTTAATTTTGGATTTGTTGAAGTTTTTATTTTTAATTTTTGATTCGTTGAAGTTGATGTATCAATGTTACTTCGTGCCTTTGGTTTTTTTGACTTTTTCAATGATAAATTGTTGATAGTTGTGTTTTCTACTCCCTCTTTCCTTATCACTGAATTATTAGAATCTTTAGGATCTTTAGAATCTTTAGATGTATTAGAATGTGATTGTTGCGTTAATATATTATTGTCATCATTACGTTCCACTGATTCATTCAAGAAATCCTCGTTTTGAGTATCTGATTCGTTATAATTTGTATCTATCAAATTGAAAAAAAAATATTTTTTTTATCAGATTATGAATTACAATATAAATTTAAATACATTTGAAACGAACTGTTGACAACCTAATAGTGCATTAGGTAAAACTTTAGTTCCGATGGCTTTTGCCGGACGTTCAAGAGCTTCTTGTGCATCCTGAAGTAGTTCATCTATAACGACACATATTCGTTTAAATCGAACATCATTATCTTTTGCGATTTCTACCAGGTCCGTCTGATCAATAAGAATTAATTTAATTTTATTAAAAAATGTTTAAATATATATATTTATATATATTTTTTAAATTTATTTAACAATTTACCTCTGTTAATGGTGTAGACTCATCTTCATCTTCATTGACAGGATAAACTTCAGACATAAACGTGTCATTACTAAAAATTTTGAATATAAAATTGAGTATAAAATTGAATATAAATTATAATAAATTATAATAAATTATGATAATTTTTATAAGAAATTATAATTATAATAAAACAAGTATTATTAAACATACATTTTAAGCATTCTCTTCAATTTTATTATTTCAGCAGCTTGTTGTTTATTTTTTTCGTCCAATTCAGCATTTTTCGCCGTCAAACATTTTATAGAGATTTCTAAATCAGCTATCTAAACGCGATGAACAATTAACATATGTTGATAGTTAATAATTAGCCATTCTATAATATAAGAAGGCCTAATCTATTCGTGTTCTAAATTACTTAACAATTTAATGACGCGTATTGTAATTATTATTTTTGCATTGATTTGATTTAATCATAGCATTACATAAACCAATTAATAAAAATAACTCACCTTTCTATTCATTCTTGCTTCATCAGCTTGTAATTGACGAGCGATGTCAAAATCAATTTGAGATTTTTCAGATAAAGTTCCGAGAGAAGATTTTGGCCGCACACGTATTATAGTATCCGACATGATTGATGGGGTCTTATTAAGAAAGCTCATGCTACTCTGTACACTTATATTCGAATTTGCAGACTTATTACTCTGACTGCTATCTTCATCCGAGTCAGAAAAAAAACCGTTTCCAGACCTAGCTTTTTCTTTATCTGATACAGACGTATTAATTCTAGCGACGCGAGGCCTATTTGAACCATTGCTTGTTAAACTTGAAGTAGTTTTACTGCGCAAAAGAGAAGGTGGCGGCACGGTCGCGAATTTAGAGTCGTTTTTAACTCTCGGTCTACGAGTCTTAGAAAGGTTCGAGTCTCGTTCTTGTTTCTCCATCTATAAATTTGTATGAAACTTTTTTTTTATGTGATGACAAAAGTGAAGCTTAAAAAATTGGTAAAAAAAGGAAAGACGAAATCCTAGAGAAAGCCAAAATCTCCTAGACAAAAAAAAACGAAACCTAAAATCTGAAAAATGAAAGACGAAACCTGGTAAAAACCCAGACAAAAACCAAACCCCTAGCTAAAAAGCGAAACTTAAAAAGGGTTGAATTTTCAAATTCGTAAATTAACAAAAATATAAAAGAAGATAGACGATTTGTCACTAGTGGGTAGTTGTGGTTGGAAATTGACAATCGAATTACAAAGGGGACTAACTAAACTATATAGACGTGTGACAATGTAACACAACAAGGGATATTTTTTATGAGTAACCGCTGATATTTTTTGTCAACTTTGATAAATTCTCCGGTGTAATTCTGCAGAGTCACATTGGTCTATGCATAAGTTTAAATCACAAAAAGGGAATGATATGTCATTATTATTATTCTTATTGCAACTCGAAACAATATAAAGTTGAGAAAGAAAATTAATCGACCCCTAATCCAGAGTTTGTTCACTAAAAACATGTAAAATGATGAAATATAAATTTATTAGCCTAGACATACGTACGTACGTACCAGGGTTGGCACGGGCAGTCTTGACCTGGATAATTTGACGGTCCAAAAGTTTAGCACTAGGTCAAATTGTATCAATATACGTATAATATTTATGTAACTATACATATACTGTATTTAAATAGTAATAGGGACCCTTTCAATCATTGACTAGCAAGTCTTTTTAGTAGATCACCGATTTGACTACCTCAGTATACGTACATATTGTACGTACTTTTTTCTTCTGAAGTATCATGAATAGTGAATTCTCACATGATTAGAGCGTAACACAGCCATAAATATGCCTCTATTTTTCCTTTCTTGGTGTTTTACACGTGTAAATCTGGGATTATCTAGATATAATTGTTATACATAGCACTGTTTAAAATATTCTGTGCCATGTCAACATGGAAAATCAAAATCAAAGCCATTTATATGCCATTTATATATCATTTACGTCATAATAACATCGGAATGTTCGCGAAAAAAAAAAAGATTTGATTTATTAATTATTCTAACTTAACGTTAGCATGTACAAAAAATTATCATAATATTGGAAAAAGAAGCACTGTTATATATCCGAAGCTAAAAAAATTCAATAGCTAGCTAAAAATAAAAGTAAATATATTGGTTAATATTAGGTATATTAGGTAAAAATTGATGATTACCTGGTCCAAACAATAGGATGCGGGCATAAACACAAAATCAGGTCTATTACTCCTCCCATAGTATCCTCCGCTTTGCTTCGGATCTAGACTTTGCATATCGTCTCATCCGAACTTTTCCCGTCTACTCGTTCACCTTTACAAAATAGTTTTAGTCGAAACGCGTCAACCCCGTTAAGATAATATCTGTAAAGACGTTTATCCCTTATGAATCCTAGATTATGATATAATGAAAGTGCCCCAAGGTTTGTGTATTCTGTTTCGAGGACAATCTTGAATGAAATGTTAAAAATTTCAGACAATTTCATATAATATTAGACATTAAAAAAAAGATTCATTCAATTACTTCATCAGCGTTCTGCTTTTTCATAGCGTCTATAGCCATTTTTACTAATGAAGTTCCTATTAAAGAAAAATACAGTAATGATAACTCAACATTTATCATTATTAATAATTATTATCTTTATTAATTATGAAAAAAGTATAATATTCCAAACCTATCTTTCTTTTTCGATATTCTTTTTTAACGGCTAACATTGCAATATAACCGCGTAATGCATCACGATGTTTATCAAGTTTGCATATTATTACTCCAATGCATTGATCTTCGACCATGGTCTTTTAAAAATAAAACATATATAATGAGAAATAAATTTCGTAAAATTTATTCAGAATAAAATGGAATAAAATATCTAATATTTTTACCTACCATAAAGCATAAATTTGACCAATTATTGATAAAATAACGATAGGTATATATTGAATATGGTTCTGACAGATCATTTTCGATCAAAGACATGATTCCAGGAAGTTGTAATTCTGAGGTATAAGGCACATATTTAATGTCTTCGCTTGTTATGCTTTGTGATGTTGAAACCTCTTCCATCGAAACTTGCAGTGTGAATAATTTTTATCGAAAGATTGGAACAAATGTATGTCAGCCAATAAAATCCAATAAAATGTAAATGTGCATCGAGACCCAATTTTAGAAAATTGTTACACGAATGTTGGGGTGCACGAAATCGAAGGTTGAATTAAAGTTTATAAATACTATGAATCGATATCGATATAAGCGTTATTATTTGTTTTTTTTTTTTATAGAATTTCTATAATCTTTATATATTTAATTAGAGCTTTAAATAATCTTTTAATATTGTATATACGTAGTATAAGATGGTGTAATTTACTAATAATTTTATTAAAAAAATTTTTTAGTCAAAAATTCTTAACTATTATAAGTTAATTTGGCTAAATTAGTTTTTTAAATTTTATATTTAAATTAAGTGCAATAATAATGCTATTTAAAGTTTATATACAGTCTACCCTCGTTTATATCAACCCATTTGAATTGGTTTAAATTCATGTTAATAGTGATATTAACAAGAGATTATATTAAAATTGATATATACAGTATAAGGGAATTTTTAATATATAAAAATTTGTAAAAATTCATCTTATTGCTTAGATTGATATTGATGAGGTTGATATTAACGAGAGTAAACTATATACAATATTGTATATAAATATTTTTGTAAAAATTTAGCTCTATTATATATATATATGGGCTGGAAATCAGGCAGATTGACATTTTAAAAAAAATCTATACCTAAACTTTCACGACTCATATCTCGATGAATTTTGAAGCTATCTTGATGATACAACATTCAAAAGAAAGCTTAGAATCTAATCTTTCTTTTGAATATTAAATTATCAAGATAGCTTCAATATTAATAGAGATATTGACTGTGAAAGTTGAGGTATAGATTTTTTTTTAAAATGTCAATCTGCCTGATTTCTATTGCTGTATTGACGGCAGCCCATATAATAAAAAATAAATTAAGGAACACTGTATATACATATATATATGGTACATATATTAGTCTTCTTTTATGTTTTAAAAAATACTATATTGTAATATAGTATAAGAAGTATTATTATAATGACTTGCTTTTTTAATTAAATAACTTAATTATATAATTTTATTATAAATAAATACACAATTACTGTATATAGCTATATAAAATTTTATACGTAATAAATTTTATACGTATTTATAATTTTATTTAAAACTTGCCTAATTAAATTATTTTAATTTATACGTATAAATTTAATTATCGTTATGAATAAATGTATTTATTGCATGTATTAGGTATATACATATGAAAATTTCGGATCAGTCCGAACTCAGGATCTGGGCAAATAAGTAGAGAAAATAGTAAGATGTTAAATCGATGATAACAATTCTCCAAATTAAAAACACTTTTTGTTTTTCATAATTTGAATCTATTAATTTAGAAATTTTTTAAAATTTAATGAGTTTTAGAATGGTTAGCGCAGTTTTTCAAATAGTAATGGAATGCTTATAACAACAAGTAAAATCATAGTATAGCTACAAAGAGAAAAATATCTTGCGATCTATAATCGATTTTAATAATTTTATCCATTAGAATCGTAATAACTAGTTAAAAAAGATTTTGCTTAATAAAAAAAAAGTTTTCATCGTAATCCGATTATGATACTTAGTAATGACTATACCCTTTAACCGCGAACTATCTCTCACTTTTAATGAAAGTTATAAAGAGCAAGTTATTACGATTCTAATGGTGGTAAAATAATTAAAGTCGATTAAGTATATCGCAAGATATTAATATTTTTTTTTCTTTGTAGCTATATGATTTTCATTTACTGTGTTGTCGCGAAATAACGAAATTTTAGGTTAATTATTCTTACATATGGATTTTTGCTAACAATAAAAATAACAGTCTCGAAGGGTGATTTTTGTTAGCAAAGCATGATCGTTAGGCGTATGTAATCTTCATTATCGTTATAATTTTCCGAAAGATGGAATCATAATTCTGAAAAATGGACATGCTAAAAGAAATAACATTGTAATTTGAACATTAAGTAAAAAATAAAAAATTTCGGAAAAATTTTTATACGTATTGCCTCAAAATGACATGTGCATACGTATACAATGCGCATAAGTTATATTTATAGCTGTTTTCAAAAAGGTGTGAACAGATGCAGAACATCATATCACGGGAAATTCACGAAATTTCCCAGATTTCCAAAATTTTCAGAACTAGCTCTAATCTGACTTTAAATTTTTACTAATGAGAATTTCTGATTCTTCAATTTCCCACGTAGGTATATGGAAATCGTTGTTCACACCTTTTTGAAAACAGCTGTAAATAACTCAGAATTCCATTATTATATGAATATAGAATTTCTTCCGCTAGGCAAAGTTGTTTAAAATGCCATTTCTCAAAATACGGATAAATTTTTATTAATGACTTTTTTTGTTATATGCTTTGGCGCAGAAATTATAGCTGTTTTCAAAAAGGTATAACCAGGTGCAAACCACTATATCGTACGTAGGAAAACTATATGATTCCCTGATTTCCTTGATTCCGCGAATAAGGGAAATCGAAGAAATCAAGGAATTTGTGTTATAATATAATGGCTTGCACCTGGTTACACCTTTTTGAAAATAGCTGTAATTTTCTGCGCCAAAACATACAACGGAAAAAAGCCTTTAATAAAAATTTATCCGTATTGCACAAAAATTTGAGGGTAAGTAAAAAATGGCATTTTAAACAACTTTGCCTAGTGGAAGAAATTCGATTTGCTTGATTTCCTCGATTTCTCTCTAATTTCCCTTATTCGCGGAATCAAAGAAATCAATAGATACCTTTTTGAAAGAAAAACCGCAGAGATCACATGAGAGGAACGTATTATGAATAAAAGATCGTCGATTCACATATTAGATATGTTCTCCACTTTTACCTTCACAAAATTAAAAATCGTGGCCCCCTCCAGGTAGCATTGCGTGATTTATACAAAGTACAGTTTTTTCATATCACGAGTGTAAACCAAGTTAAAATACATATAAATTTAAAAAAAATTTACCAAAAAACAAAGTTTTTTATTAATAAGTGTTAACTTCGTCATATATAATACCCACATATTAGCCAACACAATCTATATTCAATAAAAATGGTATTTTATCGCGACATTAGATTTGAAAATCAAACATCAAAAATACCATTTCGAGATCATAATTTCTCTATTACAATTGAGACATCAGCCATTAGTCCGAATCAGCAACCGATGCTATTAGCATCACTTTTTTTTAATGATCTTAATGATCAACGAGCAAGCCAATTTCCTGCAAACATTCGTTGTAAAGATGAAACAAACAACAAATATCTACCAAACGGAATGAGCTTTCAACTTTTGTTCCCTAACAAATACGCGGTTTATTTTGATGATGAAACACGCAAACTCTGCTCATTCACCTCTACAATAACTAATGGTGTAAATGCTTATAAAATTCTTAAATTTGATTCAAGGAATGAAAATAACATGGACTTGAGCTGGTAACGGGTTGACCTTTTTTTTTCTTTCCTTCTTTTCTCGTACTTTAAGAAAAGCTTTTTTTTTAATTGAGTAAAGTTTTTTTTTAATTGGGAATTTTTTGATCTTTTGTTTTACACACGTTTTTAGATCATTTAAAAATATATTGTATATTTTTTCTTTTCTCAATTCTTACGCTTGGTTATAAAATTTAAATTGCATTAATAACAATAAATATTTGGCGAATATAATCCTATTTGGTGGGATTAGAGGTTGTACCCGTTATAAAATTTAGTCCCCGGTTTATCCACCCGTTTACAATGACAATCCGGAATATAAACCGGATTACTCAAATTACCCGAATAAACATACAATTTCGGGTTATCCGGTTTATTACTAATCGTAATAAGATTACTTAGAATTTAAATACTGCACAAAAATTACCTCACTG